AGACAGTTTCTACAACTAAATGATAATGCCAATACAACATACCAGAACTTATGGGACATAATGAAAGCAGTCCTTGAGGGAAATTTATAGCAGTGAATTCTGATATCAGAAAAACAGAGCAAGCTCAAATAAACATCCTAATGTTGAACCTCAAGCTTCTAGAAAAAGAAGAGCAAATCAAGCACAAAGCTTATACAAGGGAGGAAATAATAAAGATCAGAGCAGACACTAATGCAATGGAGACTATGAAAACAATGCCAAGAATCAATGAATCGAGGAGGTGATTCTTTGGAAGATTAAATAGAATTGACAAACCCTTAGTCAACTGTATCAAAGAAAGGAAATAAGGGCTGGAGATTTAGCTCAGTGGTTCTGCTGCCTGCCTCCCAAGCGCAAGGTCCCAAGTTCGATCCCTGGTACCAAAAAAAAAAAATTTTCTATTTGGGCTGGGGATTTAGCTCAGTGGTTTCACCTCCTGCTGCGCAAGTACAAGGACCCTAGTTTAATCCCTGGTACCGAAAAAAAAAAAAAAGGAAATAGAAGACTCACATAAAAAAAATTTAAATTAAAAAAGACTCAAATCCATGCAGTTAGGAATAAAAAGAGTGAAATCACAACAGATCCTGCAGAAATCCAGAAGATCACCAATATCTACTTTAAGAACCTGTATTCTAATAAGATGAAAAACTTGAAGAAATGGATAGATTCCTAGATACAAATGAATTACCAAGGTAATTCAAGAAGATATAAAATTCTAAATAAACCAATACCAGTCAATGAAATTAAAGATATAATTTTAAACCTACCAACAAAGAAAAGCCCAGGCAATGATGGATTCACTGGTGAATTCTACATGAAATTTAGAAAAGACCTAATGCTACTACTTCTCAAACTCTGTAATGAAATTGAAAGGGAAGCAATAATCCCAAATTCATTCCTGGAAGCAAGCATTACCCTGACTCTAAAACCAGAGAAGAATTCAACCAAAAAAGAACTACAGGCCAAGTTCCCTAATGAACATAGATGCAAAAATCCTCAGTAAAATACTGGCAAACAGAATGCAGCAAATTATCGAGAAGATTATATACCATGACAAAGTTGGATTCATTCCATGGATGCAGAGCTAGCTTGACAAATGTAAATCAATAAATGTAATACACCATATTAACAGAGCCAAGGACA